CACAGTGTGTCAAGCATGTAGTGCCACAGTGTGTCAAGCTTCTAGTGCCACAGTGTGTCAAGCATGTAGTGCCACAGTGTGTCAAGCATGTAGTGCCACAGTGTGTCAAGCATGTAGTGCCACAGTGTGTCAAGCATGTAGTGCCACAGTGTACCAAGCATGTAGTGCCACAGTGTGTCAAGCATGTAGTGCCACAGTGTGTCAAACATGTAGTGCCACAGTGTGTCAAACATGTAGTGTCATAGTGTGTCAAACATGTAGTGCCACAGTGTGTCAAGCATGTAGTGCCACAGTGTGCCAAGCATGTAGTGCCACAGTGTGTCAAGCATGTAGTGCCACAGTGTGCCCAGCATGTAGTGCCACAGTGTGTCAAGCTTGTAGTGCCACAGTGTGTCAAGCATGTAGTGCCACAGTGTGTCAAGCATGTAGTGCCACAGTGTGCCAAGTATATATTGCCACACGGTGTCAAGTGCACCAAATATTTTGTGCACCAAATATTTTGTATTCCGGTGCACAACGCAGCTAGGAGCACAATGACTTAAGCATCTAACATCACATTGCAGTAAGTGTGTAGGATCACGGTACAGGAAGTGTGTTGTACAGAGTGCATCAAGAGAGTTGGATCAGAGAGCTTCAAGAGGATTAGATCAGAGAGCTTCAAGTGTGTTAGATCAAGATGCATGATGTATTTAATAAGAGAGTATTCCAATTATAAGGAATCGCAGTGCACCATGTGTCTATATCATACCATAATTTAATTGCAACCGCAATTACATGAGTACATTGCACTAAGTGTGCAGTATCATGGTTCACCAAGTGTCTAGTATCATGGTTCACCAAGTGTGTAGTATCATGGTTCACCAAGTGTGTAGTATCATGGTTCACCAAGTGTGTAGTATCATGGTTCACCAAGTGTGTAGTATCATGGTTCACCAAGTGTGTAGTGTCATGGTTCACCAAGTGTGTAGTATCATGGTTCACCAAGTGTGTAGTATCATGGTTCACCAAGTGTGTAGTATCATGGTTCACCAAGTGTGTAGTATCATGGTTCACCAAGTGTGTAGTATCATGGTTCACCAAGTGTGTAGTATCATGGTTCACCAAGTGTGGAGTATCATGGTTCACCAAGTGTGTAGTGTCATGGTTCACCAAGTGTGTAGTATCATGGTTCACCAAGTGTGTAGTATCATGGTTCACCAAGTGTGTAGTATCATGGTTCACCAAGTGTGTAGTATCATGGTTCACCAAGTGTGTAGTATCATGGTTCACCAAGTGTGGAGTATCATGGTTCACCAAGTGTGTAGTGTCATGGTTCACCAAGTGTGTAGTATCATGGTTCACCAAGTGTGTAGTTCATGGTTCACCAAGTGTGGAGTATCATGGTTCACCAAGTGTGTAGTATCATGGTTCACCAAGTGTGTAGTATCATGGTTCACCAAGTGTGTAGTATCATGGTTCACCAAGTGTGTAGTATCATGGTTCACCAAGTGTGTAGTATCATGGTTCACCAAGTGTCTAGTATCATGGTTCACCAAGTGTGTAGTATCATGGTTCACCAAGTGTGTAGTATCATGGTTCACCAAGTGTGTAGTATCATGGTTCACCAAGTGTGTAGTATCATGGTTCACCAAGTGTCTAGTATCATGGTTCACCAAGTGTGTAGTATCATGGTTCACCAAGTGTGTAGTATCATGGTTCACCAAGTGTGTAGTATCATGGTTCACCAAGTGTCTAGTATCATGGTTCACCAAGTGTGTAGTATCATGGTTCACCAAGTGTGTAGTATCATGGTTCACCAAGTGTGGAGTATCATGGTTCACCAAGTGTGGAGTATCATGGTTCACCAAGTGTGTAGTATCATGGTTCACCAAGTGTGTAGTGTCATGGTTCACCAAGTGTGTAGTATCATGGTTCACCAAGTGTCTAGTATCATGGTTCACCAAGTGTGTAGTATCATGGTTCACCAAGTGTCTAGTATCATGGTTCACCAAGTGTGTAGTATCATGGTTCACCAAGTGTGTAGTATCATGGTTCACCAAGTGTGGAGTATCATGGTTCACCAAGTGTGGAGTATCATGGTTCACCAAGTGTGTAGTATCATGGTTCACCAAGTGTGTAGTGTCATGGTTCACCAAGTGTGTAGTATCATGGTTCACCAAGTGTCTAGTATCATGGTTCACCAAGTGTGTAGTATCATGGTTCACCAAGTGTCTAGTATCATGGTTCACCAAGTGTGTAGCATCATGGTTCACCAAGTGTGTAGTATCATGGTTCACCAAGTGTGTAGTATCATGGTTCACCAAGTGTGTAGTATCATGGTTCACCAAGTGTGTAGTATCATGGTTCACCAAGTGTGTAGTATCATGGTTCACCAAGTGTCTAGTATCATGGTTCACCAAGTGTGTAGTATCATGGTTCACCAAGTGTGTAGTATCATGGTTCACCAAGTGTGTAGTATCATGGTTCACCAAGTGTCTAGTATCATGGTTCACCAAGTGTGTAGTATCATGGTTCACCAAGTGTCTAGTATCATGGTTCACCAAGTGTCTAGTATCATGGTTCACCAAGTGTGTAGTATCATGGTTCACCAAGTGTGTAGTGTCATGGTTCACCAAGTGTGTAGTGTCATGGTTCACCAAGTGTGTAGTATCATGGTTCACCAAGTGTGTAGTGTCATGGTTCACCAAGTGTGTAGTGTCATGGTTCACCAAGTGTCTAGTATCATGGTTCACCAAGTGTCTAGTATCATGGTTCACCAAGTGTGTAGTGTCATGGTTCACCAAGTGTGTAGTGTCACAGTGCACCAACAGAATAGGATCACTGTACTCCAAGTCTGTAATATATAAACAGACACCAAGTGCGTAAAATTATACCGAACCAAATTTGTAGGATCAAAACGCACTGAAGTCAGGTCGAAACGCATTGTACTGTATTACACGACACCATTTTTGTGTTGAATTACACGACACCATTTTTGCAAGAGCACAGTGCAGCAAGAGTGTAGGATCTTAGTGCACTTTGTTTGAGGGATTATATTGCACCGTGAGTGCTGGGTCACTTTGCACCAAGGCGCACCATGTGTGTGCAGTAAGATCATTAGGAGTGTAGGATCACAGTGCATCAAGTGTATAGGATAGGATCACAGTGAATCAGTGTGTACGATCAGAGTGCGTCAAGTGATAAAGATCACAAAGTATGTAAGATCACAGAGCACAAAAATAACGTGTAGGATGTCAGTGTAATATTTGCATGATCAAAGTGGACCAAGTATGAATTATCACAGTGAAACAAGTGTGTACAAATTGAAGAATCAAAGAAAATCAAGTTTGTATGTTCTCAGTAAATCACTTAATTAAATAAGATCACAGTGAGCCAAGAATTAGGATATCAGGACACCAGTATTTAAGATTACAGTTTGCTAACAGTGAGGAACACAGTGAACCAGGAGTGAATGTTCACTAAGGATGCGAAATAATATTGCACCATTTGTGTAATATCACTATGAACCAAGTCTGTAAGATCACAGTGCACTACGAGTGTTCAATCACAGTACACCAAGAATGATGAATGGAAGTGTACAGAGACTTCGTAATCAGTGAGTGTCAAGAGTATATTCGCTTACACTGTTAAATGTGTTGAAGGATCACACTGAATGAACAGTGTGAGATCACAGTGCTCCGTATGTACAGAATTACGGTGCACCAAGTTTATAGAGGTCACATTGCACTAACCGTGTAGGATGTCACTGCATCAACTGAATTAGCTCATAAGCTGAATTACAATACAAAAAGTATTTACGATTGTAGTGTATGAAGTGTGTAGAGTTATAGCGCACCAAGTATGTATGAAAACAGTGCAATAAGAGTTTAGGATCACAGAACACCATGAATGAGGGACCACGGACTGACAACTGTGTAGGATCTCAGTGCAAGTAGAGTGTAGGAAGATGAAGTAAATAGAATTATCTAAAGTACATAATCGCATGGAACATTGTATGTAAGATTTGTGCACCAAATGTACGGCTTCATAGTGAACCAGCTATGCAGGATCACTATGTATTATATTTGTTTATTCACAACGTAAAATGCGTGTAATGTTACAGAGCACAAAGTTTGTAGAATGTAGCTGCAAATTGTGTGTTACACCACAATGCACAAAATTCGTAGGAACGCAATGCAAAATGTGTAAAGTGTTAGAACACTGTGGCGTGAGTGGAGTATACTACACTTTATTTAGCTTTCATCACACACCCATTGGCATGGTAGGCATGCCAATGGGTGTGTGATGAACTAGGGCAAGTTAATAGTGATAGCCACGTCCCCCTGGCAAGATGATAACATCACACCTGTCTGCATGGCTGGAAGGCCATGCAGACAGGTGAATACACTGGTTGAATACACTTCTCTTGCTTTGAGTAGCTCTCTGCTTTGTCTTATCATTATACTGTTAACGTAACAACTTGCCCGTGTAACTATTCTACATACTGGAAAATCCTAGAAGGAATGGTCCCGAATCTGCACACAGAAATCACTCCCTACGAAAGTAAAAGACTGGGCAGGCGATGCAAAATACTTCCAATTAAAAGTAGGGGCGCCATTGGTGCACTAAGAGAAAACACCAGAATTTTCCTGGGCCCAAGATTATTCAACAGCCTCCCACCAAGCATAAGGGGAATTACCAATAGGCCCCTGGCAGCCTTCAAGAGGGAGCTGGACAGACACCTAAAGTCGGTGCCGTATCAGCCGGGATGTGGTTCATACGTTGGACTACGTGCGGCCAGCAGTAACAGCCTGGTTGATCAGGCCCTGATTCACCGGGAGGCCTGGTCGTGGACGGGGCCGCGGGGGCGTTGATCCCCGGAATAACCTCCAGGTAACCAGGTATCCAGGTAAAGAAATATAAAGAAAACAGGCTCTTCATCAATTTCAAGTATTCTTGAGGATACCTTGTTTAACAAGGTAGTCATAAAGACTGCTAGTTTATGGAGAACATGATCTTACCCTCGGGAATGTCGAAGGCAACAAGTGTGGTAGCCATCACCAGCAGCAGCAGCAGCAGCAGCAACAGGTGCCCCTCCATCGTGCCTGTGTATTACAATGAGACTAAGAAAACAACATCCTGCCCCCAACCACCGAGTACACACACACCGGAACTGAGAAAAAAAAAGATTTAAAATAATATTCACTCCCACACTCACTCACACACATACAAACACACTCACAAGCACTAATTTACTCTATCACACTCACACACTTATCGGACATATCTTCTGAGGCGCAAATAAACCCAATAACTGCTGCAGCATATGGGCGACTACCAAACCTAAGAATAGCATCTCATTTAGGAGTCGTTCAAGACTCTGTACACCGTGTACGTCCGGACTAAATTAGAGCATGCAGCACCAGTTTGGAGCCAACACCTTGGCAAGCACGTCAGAAAATTAAAGAAAGTACAAAGATTTGCAAAGAGATTATTCCCGGAGCTAAGGAGCATGTTCTACAAGGAGAGGTTAAGGGAAATTGTAGTTCCGACATTGGAGGACAGGAGGGCAGGGGCGACATGATAACATTTAAAATACTGAGAGGAATCGACAAGGTGGACATAGATAAAATGTTCCAGAGATGGGACACAGTGACAATGGGTCACAATTGGAAGTTGAAGACTCAGATGAGTTACCTGGAGTTTACCTGGAGAGAGTTCCGGGGGTCAACGCCCCCGCGGCCCGGTCTGTGACCAGGCCTCCTGGTGGATCAGAGCCTGATCAACCAGGCTGTTGCTGCTGGCTGCACGCAAACCAACGTACGAGCCACAGCCCGGCTGGTCAGGAACCGACTTTAGGTGCTTGTCCAGTGCCAGCTTGAAGACTGCCAGGGGTCTGTTGGTAATCCCCCTTATGTGTGCTGGGAGGCAGTTGAACAGTCTCGGGCCCCTGACACTTATTGTATGGTCTCTTAACGTGCTAGTGACACCCCTGCTTTTCATTGGAGGGATGTTGCATCGTCTGCCAAGTCTTTTGCTTTCGTAGTGAGTGATTTTCGTGTGCAAGTTCGGTACTAGTCCCTCTAGGATTTTCCAGGTGTATATAATCATGTATCTCTCCCGCCTGCGTTCCAGGGAATACAGTTTTAGGAACCTCAAGCGCTCCCAGTAATTGAGGTGTTTTATCTCCGTTATGCGCGCCGTGAAGGTTCTCTGTACATTTTCTAGGTCAGCAATTTCACCTGCCTTGAAAGGTGCTGTTAGTGTGCAGCAATATTCCAGCCTAGATAGAACAAGTGACCTGAAGAGTGTCATCATGGGCTTGGCCTCCCTAGTTTTGAAGGTTCTCATTATCCATCCTGTCATTTTTCTAGCAGATGCGATTGATACAATGTTATGGTCCTTGAAGGTGAGATCTTCCGACATGATCACTCCCAGGTCTTTGACGTTGGTGTTTCGCTCTATTTTGTGGCCAGAATTTGTTTTGTACTCTGATGAAGATTTAATTTCCTCGTGTTTACCATATCTGAGTAATTGAAATTTCTCATCGTTGACCTTCATATTGTTTTCTGCAGCCCACTGAAAGATTCGGTTGATGTCTGCCTGGAGCCTTGCAATGTCTGCAATGGAAGACACTGTCATGCAGATTCGGGTGTCATCTGCAAAGGAAGACACGGTGCTGTGGCTGACATCCTTGTCTATGTCGGGTATGAGGATGAGGAACAAGATGGGAGCGAGTACTGTGCCTTGTGGAACAGAGCTTTTCACCGTAGCTGCCTCGGACTTTACTCTGTTGACGACTACTCTCTGTGTTCTGTTAGTGAGGAAATTATAGATCCATCGACCGACTTTTCCTGTTATTCCTTTAGCACGCATTTTGTGCGCTATTACTCCATGGTCACACTTGTCGAAGGCTTTTGCAAAGTCTGTATATATTACATCTGCATTCTTTTTATCTTCTAGTGCATTTAGGACCTTGTCGTAGTGATCCAATAGTTGAGACAGACAGGAGCGACCTGTTCTAAACCCATGTTGCCCTGGGTTGTGTAACTGATGGGTTTCTAGATGGGTGGTGATCTTGCTTCTTAGGACCCTTTCAAAGATTTTTATGATGTGGGATGTTAGTGCTATCGGTCTGTAGTTCTTTGCTGTTGCTTTACTGCCCCCTTTGTGGAGTGGGGCTATGTCTGTTGTTTTTAGTAACTGTGGGACGACCCCCGTGTCCATGCTCCTTCTCCATAGGATGGAAAAGGCTCGTGATAGGGGCTTCTTGCAGTTCTTGATGAACACGGAGTTCCATGAGTCTGGCCCTGGGGCAGAGTGCATGGGCATGTCATTTATCGCCTGTTCGAAGTCATTTGGCGTCAGGATAACATCGGATAGGCTTGTGTTAACCAAATTTTGTGGCTCTCTCATAAAAAATTCATTTTGATCTTCGACTCTCAGTCTGGTAAGCGGCTTGCTAAAAACTGAGTCATATTGGGACTTGAGTAGCTCACTCATTTCCTTGCTGTCATCTGTGTAGGACCCATCTTGTTTAAGTAGGGGCCCAATACTGGACGTTGTTCTCGACTTCGATTTGGCATAGGAGAAGAAATACTTTGGGTTTCTTTCGATTTCATTTATGGCTTTTAGTTCTTCCCGCGATTCCTGACTCCTATAAGATTCCTTTAGCTTGAGTTCGATGCTTGCTATTTTCTGACCAGTGTCTCCCTACGCATTTCAGATATATTGACCTCTTTTAGCCGCTCTGTTATTCTTTTCCGTCGCCTGTAAAGGGAGCGCCTGTCTCTTTCTATTTTACATCTACTCCTCCTTTTTCTTAGAGGAATAAGCCTTGTGCATACATCGAGTGCCACCAAGTTAATCTGTTCTAGGCATAAGTTGGGGTCTGTGTTGCTTAGTATATCTTCCCAGCTTATATCGGTTAGGACTTGGTTTACTTGGTCCCACTTTATGTTTTTGTTATTGAAGTTGAATTTAGTGAATGCTCCCTCGTGACTAATCTCATTATGTCGGTCTGGGGCTCCACGCATACATGTCTGAACCTCAATTATGTTGTGATCTGAGTATATTGTTTTTGACATGGTGACATTTCTTATCAGATCATCATTGTTAGTGAAGATGAGGTCTAGTGTATTCTCCAGTCTAGTAGGCTCTATTATTTGCTGGTTTAAATTGAATTTTGTGCAGAGATTTAAAAGCTCGTGTGAGTGTGAGTTTTCATCAGAGCTGCCTCCTGGTGTTATTACTGCAACAATATTATTTGCTATATTCCTCCATTTAGGTGCCAGAGATGTTATGAAATATTTTTTAAATCACAGAGTTGTCAAGAAGTGGAATAATCTGGAAAGTGAAGTTGTGGTGGCAGGATCCATACATAGTTTTAAGAAGTGATATGATAAAGTCTTATGCAAGGTTCTACATGACATTGTAATGCATATATAGTGGAGAAATGTTCCATAATAGTATGAATTATAATTATAAAGCTTATTTTTATAATCCATAATGTGTATTTGGGGGTACTGTAAAGTACTTTAAACTGTAAATGTAAGGAAATCCTGCCAGGGATTTATTTTCCAACTGTATTTGGTTAGCGAGTAAGAGTGGGTGGCGTGGTTTGGGGCAGTCATGTGGAGTCAGCGTGGAGTGAAGGCTGGGGTTTGGGAGGCCGGGTACTTGGGTTTTGTAGTTGTGTACTCCTTTTGTTTAGCTTCCTCAAGCCATAGGCTCTTCTATGGTTCACCTGTATACTTACCTAGGACCTGATACGGTCAGGGTGCTATGGGATGAGTGAGAAGATAAGAGGAAATGGGATCAGTAGTGGAGTATGGAAGGCCGGGCGCTCGGTGAGCTAAGTGTTTATGTTTTGCTGGACTCTCCTGCCGCCGGCTCCTTGTGTACCGTCATTTGGGCGTGTAGGTTAGGAGTTACAAGAAGGTGTTTTTCTAGAGAGTGCATATAGTGTTAGTTTTAATAATAAATGTATATTTTCATAACTAGGAATTTTGCCTAACCCTCTGATAACCAACCCACTGAAGGAAGAAATGCTGGTTTAGCGCATTCTTTTTTGACTGGGATAGCCCTGGGTGGCCTGTTTTTGCATGAAATTCGTGTAACTTTTACCTTTGCCCTTAGACAAGGTAATCCCACCTTATCTGCGTAACAAACCTCACAGAGCAAGGAGTGAGTGACCCACTGGTGACCAGTGAAGAGGCAGGACCAGGAGCTATAAATCGACCCCTGGAACCACATTTAGGTGAGTACACACACACACACCTAGGTAGATATAATAAAAATAAGAATGAGGAGTGGCAGGAAAGAATCACTGAGGCATCCCTCAAATCTCATGGAGTGATAACATATGTGATCTTCCAGCCTCGATATCAGATCCTGAGGAAAGTCAGGGGAAAACAGAGAGACCTGAAGAGTTGACCTATTCATCAAAAACCAATCAAATTTTAAGAAGATTGGAGGACTAGTCAGAGGTGTAGTAGATAACCACGTAGTAGGAACACTTCGAACTGAAAGTCCAAATGTGATGATAGCAGTGATGCACATCCCACGCTAATTCCTCTCTCCCCTCAGATCTGTGGGCAAAGACCATGGACCCAACAACCTATAAACCAGAATACAGTGTTCAAAAGAAGCTGAAGGTATGGTATGCCAAAGCAAATGAAATAACGAATGAGAGTGAGGAGTGTGATGAACGAATCATAGAGGCAACCCCAGACATCATAACAAAGCTTATGGAAACACAGAGGGAACAGAGTGGGGAGGTGGAGTTGCACTGCTCACCACAAACTAGTGGAGCTTTGAGGAGATGGGAGGAATGGACAAAGGGGCAGCAGTTGACTATATAGTAAGAACTTTTCAGACCGGGAGTCCAAAGGTGGTGATAATAATAATGTACAACCCACCACTGAATAGCAAGAGACCAAGACAAGAGAATAATGACAGCAACAGAGCAATGGTGGATACACTAGCCGAGGCCAGAAGGGCCTATATGAAATGGAAAAGCTACTGGTCATGGAGGGGGACTTTAGTCAAAAGGAGATTGATTGGGAAAGCCTGCAGCAACGCGGGGGACCAGAAACGTGAAGGAAAAGATGCTGGAGCTGGTACTGGAAAACGTCATGAATCAACAAGTTCGAGACAACCAGAAAGAGAGGACGGGATGAACCAGCGAGGCTGGACCTTGTATTCACCTTCAGCTACGTGACACGTAGCTCAATAGCTAGCACACTCAG